CTCAAATATTGGCTGCAAATTTAAGCACGCTCAAGGCTTGCTTAAACCTTAGCTTGGCTTTATAAAATAATAAATATTAAATATATGTTCATCTTCCTTGGACTCAGTGCTATTGTTTTTTTTTTTTTTGTACCGTCCATCCACGGATGTTGAGGAAGTAATCCATTTGTTGGAGTTTTGTTTTGTTTTTTTCAGCCTGGAATGTTTATTTATCTTCCATGGGATTGATGGATGCAGGGCCATTATTTTGTTGGGTTGGCTTGAACCAACCATCTGCTCGCGGGCATTTTGCAAACAGCAGAACTGGGGAAGTTGGACGGGGAAAGGAGGTTCTGTTGGTAGCAACTGTATCTGCCCATTTGTTAGCAATAATATTTTCATGGCCTTTCATTGTCAGACCTGTTTCTTTCTGGCAACGGTCGCTTTTTCCACGAAGGTTTGGCCCAAATCAAGTCAGCTCAGTAACAATCGCTGCTTGCACATATGGCTTCCTTAGAAACACACAATTATTTTTCATTTTGCCTACCTCTTGTTGTCGTGCACTATTATTTCCCCCTGGTTTGGGCTCTGAAAAAAGCCAAACAGAAAGGGCATTGGCTCTTTTGCACTTGGGTGTTGGAGAAGACTTCAGTACCGTGGACAGCGACAAAAAATGGGATTAGTAATCATGGCTCAGTGGCTAAGACGCTGAGCCTGTCGATCGAAAGGTCGGCAGTTCGGCGGTTCGAATCCCTAGTGCCGCGTAACGGGGTGAGCTCCCGTGTACTTGTCCCAGCTTCTGCCAACCTAGCAGTTCGAAAGCAGGTAAAAAATGCAAGTAGAAAAAATAGGAACCATCTTTGGTGGGAAGGCAACAGCGTTCTGTGCGCCTTTGGCGTTGAGTCATGCCGGCCACATGACCATGGAGACGTCTTCGGACAGTGCTGGCTCTTCAACTTCGAAAAGGAGATGAGCACCGCCCTCTAGAGTCAGGAACGACTAGTACATATGTGCGAGGGGAACCTTTCCCTTTCCCTTTAACCATTTGTCAAAACAAGTTGCGACAAGTTTTTGCTCAGTGCTGTTGAGTTTGGAAGTATCTAGAGAGCATCAGGCTGGCTTCTCCTTGATTTGTGGCATCCTGAGACATCTTGCAAGTAGGCAAAAGAAAGATGCAGAATAACAAGAGGTAAGCAAAATGAAATATTTAAGGAAGATGTGTTTTCGTTCAGGTTTACTAAGAGACCCGGGGCCTAGGAATAACTTACGTTCTCTTCTGTTGTTCTTTTGCATTTGGAAACAGGAACACAGCTAACAATGGATGGTAAAGGTTTTATTTGTATGTTTCTCTTGGTGTGTATCACACGTCACGTTTTGCAAGCTCTGTAGACTTGTCGATCTCGGTGCTTTGCTGACATCGACGTGATGCCTGAATTTTTCATGGATAAAATGTTCTGCAGCAGTTCTGAATTCAACTCTCTTTAGGAAGGATGGACGGAAGGAAGGAAGGAAGGAAGGAAGGAAGGAAGGAAGGAAGGAAGGACATGGGAAAGAGGAAGGTAGGGACGGAGGGGAGAAGAGAAAAGGGAGTAGAGATGAGAGAAAGAAGGAAATAATAAGGAAGAGAGGGAGGGAAGGAAGGAAAGAAAAGGAAAGAAGGGAGGAAGGAGATAAAAAAGAGGGAAGGAGGGAGGAAGGAAGGAAAGAAGGAGATAGGAAAGAGGGAGGGAGGAAGGAAGGACATGGGAAAGGAAGAGAGGGAGGGAGGGGAGGGGAGAAAAGGAAGTAGAGATGAGAGAAAAGAAAAGAAATAAGGGAGGGTGGGAGGGAGGAAAGGAGGGAAAGAGGGAGGGTGGGAGGAAGGAAGACAAGAAGGAAGGAGGGAGGGAAGGAAGAAAGGAGAGATGAGGGAAGGAAGGAGGAAAGAAAAAGAAAGAAGGAAAGAAAGAAAGAAAGAAAAAGAAAGAAAGAAAGAAAGAAAGAAAGAAAGAAAGAAAGAAAGAAAGAAAGAAAGAACCATAACTCTAAAACTTCCCACTGCTGGCAGCATAAATCTGAATTTCTATGATCTAGCTACGTGACTCAGCATTTATAAGATTTTTGATTCACAGCAATGTCTCAGGGCATATAAAATTTTTTTTTTTGGCAGTCTCACTTAAAAAGAGATTTGTAGGCCAGCCCTGTTTCGTGCAGAAAATCCAGAACTGGCTGCTCATCGTTTTTAGAAAAGTCTGGAATCGGTTCCACTGTTGAGTCTGCCAAGCCAACTTCCATCCCAGCAGTGAAAGCTCATAAGACTGGTTGTGTTTACCCATCACACAAGCCGTGGTTTGTTGAACAAACAAACCATCTCATGGCTGAGCACAACGCGGGAAATCACCCAGAGTCTGTAACTCGCTGACTATTCCAGTTGTCGCACGCAGGGAGATAGAAGGATAAGGTAAAGGTAAAGGTTCCCCTTACACATACGTGCTAGTCGTTCCCGACTCTAGGGGGCGGTGCTCATCTCCGTTTCAAAGCCGAAGAGCCAGCGCTGTCCGAAGACGTCTCCGTGGTCATGTGGCCGGCATGACTCAATGCCAAAGGCACACGGAACACAATTCCCTTCCCACCAAAGGTGGTCCCTATTTTTCTACTTGCATTTTTTACCTGCTTTCAAACTGCTAGGTTGGCAGAAGCTGGGACAAGTCACGGGAGCTCACCCCGTTACGCGGCACTCGGGATTCGAACTGCTGAACTGCCAACCTTTTAGATCGACAAGCTCAGCGTCTTAGCCCCTGAGCCACTGCATCCCGTCGATAGAAGGATACAGCCATATATTTCCAAATTTCCAACGCTTTTTCCTTTCCTTCCTTCCTGCCTTCCTTCACTTCTTCAAATATTCCCGAGCATCACTTCTTTTCAAAGGCATCGGCAAGGAGAAGAAAATTGTCTAGGGTTGACAATGATACTCGAACACATATTCGGATATTTATTCATGAGATCAAAAGGAGAAAGCAGCTTTCCCGGGTGCTTTCGGATTTATTTCCGTGTGCTTATAGGTAGCGTGGGCATTGCCATGCTATCACTGTCATGGACGGTGCTGGGATAAGACGAATAATTTCCCCAGGTTTCAGGTACAATGTAATCATTGCTCACTTTAGAAGCAAGTGATATATATTTTGGCTTTTGCCAAAGCTTTGATTCCTTTCGTTTTGCATTTGTGCCTCCCTGGTGCTCAGCCATCGTATTTCTCCTCCATTGATATTGATGTCAATCAAGTAGAATTTACAGCTGTATGACAGCTGCGTGTACATCAAAGCAAATCTGGCTTTACCCATTGATGTAAGTCATAAGCAGGGATGGGATTCAGCCGGATGGGAGAACCGGATGTTAACTTTAATCTGGTTTGGCGAACCGGTAGTTGCAAGGACTGGCTGACCCCGCCCCTCGCGCCCCTCCCAGGAGTCTCCATGTGGCCTGTTTTGGAGGCCAGGTAAGTGCAGGGCCTCCGCGGAGGCTCTGGGAGGGCGAAAAATGGGCCTACTAGAAGCACCAGAAGTCCAAAAATGAGCCTGTTTCCAGCCTCCGGAGGGCCTCCAGAGCCTGGGGAAGACCGTTTTCACCCTCCCAGAGGCTCAAGGAAAGCCTCTGGAGCCTGGGGAGGGTGAAATGGGCCTACCAGAAGTACTGGAAGTCTGGAAATGGGCTTGTTTCCTGCCTCCAGAGGGCCTCTGGAGCCCAGGGGATGCCGTTTTCGCCCTCCCAAAGGCTCGAGGAAAGCCTCTGGAACTTGGGGAGGGCAAAAAATGGGTCTACCGGAAGTCTGGAAATGGGCCCGTTTCCAGCCACTGGAGGGCCTCCGGAGCCCGGGGAAGGCTGTTTTCGCCCTCCCGGAGGCTCAAGGAAAGCCTCTGGAACTGAAGTACTGGGAGCTCACCCCGTTTACGGGGCACGAGGGATTTGAACCGCCAAACTTCTGACCTTTCCATTGACAAGCTCAGCGTCTTAGCCACTGAGCCACTTCGTCCCTTTGAAGGTCAAAAGATACCGCCAATTTTGTGAAGATATAAATGGGCAGAATGGAAGTGTAGCCAAGGCAGGCCCTTCAAATCATGGTTCATGAGCAGAATCCGAGGACTAAAAAGTGATAAGTTTTGCACAACGACATGATGGTTAGTACCAATAGAAAAAAAAATGAAACCTTTTAAAGCTGGCCTTGGGTTGCTAACCAACCCACATCCCAAAGTCTAATTAGCACTGCCCCCTGAATTACCCTCGCTCTCATAGCTGTTCTGTCCCCGTCTCACACACGCACACAAACAGTCAGCCAGGGGTTAAATAAAACTTGCAGACAACTAATTCCTTCGATAAGAGGATTGGCAGCAACCCAGTAGCTGCTTGCCAAGAACTTTACTCATAGAGGGAGGGGTTGTTCCTCCGCCAGATAAACCAAAACAATATACACACAGTCAAAGAATTGTCAAGTCCAGTCCGTATTAAATTCAAGGCAGATAACATTGTTTCAAAGATACAATGTGACTCACTAGTAGTTTAGTTTTGTCCGTCACAGAGTCTGAATGGCCACCACATCCCCTTTTATCCCCTGTGGGGTGTGGTCCAGTGACTCAGCTTAATCTCTGGCACACCTCCTTTTCTGCTGCATGTGCTTGTCTCTCCGACGCTGGCGTGGATCCAGCCAAGACTTATCTCCGTCACTGCCCGACTGTGAGGAGATACCTGGCTCCAATCTCTTCTTCTTCGGGAGACACCTGAGGCATTGCCAGAGAGGAGGGTCCTGGAAAGGGAGGCCTGGCCAACTCCTCTCCTTCATGTTCGGAGCCTTCTCCCTCTGATAAGTCGGCCTCGGGGGTCAGAGTCACAACAATAGCTATAAGAATGAATTAACCTGTTTTGGCATATCTTCAGCAAAAGGAGAATTTTTGGGAGAAAGGGTCAAAATCTAGGTGTAGACAACGTTGAGCTAAGCGAGTAGCCGGCTCTTTAGAAAGCAATTATTTTTATTTCTGATTTCCGTTCAGATTTTGCATGGCTTGTCCAGGGTGCTGAATGCTTCACCCGTGAACAATGCACCTTACACCGTTGGGTTGGCAGAAGTCAAATCTTCCGTCCGTGGGAAAAGGATTTTTATGAACAGAGCCACCTGGGTAAAGCTTCCCGCTGCATTAGGAGACCTTCCTCGCAGGATTCGCCCGGAGGCAGATCAAAATCCGGGAAAGATGCCATAAGAGGGATCGTAAAAAAAATAAAATAAAAATAAAATGCGATCCTTATCGCCCCCGTCATCGCTGATAAGGAGATGTTGCATTTCTTCCCCATTTGGGGGATCAATCTGTTATTTTTGATATTCGCCACCAGCCTTGGTAAATCAATTTTCGAAAGAGAAAAGCTACGGAGGATGCCATGATGCAAATTACAATAGGAAGTACTAGTAATCCAATTTTACGGCCCAATTTTGGTGGCGCATTAGAATTGCCAGTGCACAATTGGTTGCTTTCCGTGTCTTTTCAGCATTGTTATATGTGAGTAAATGCTGCAGTTTTTTGTAGCTAACGAGGGTTTTATTAACTGGGTTTTTAAATATATATATATATCGTCTCTGTCTCCTTCTTCCTCCCTTTCTCTTCCCTCCTTTTCTTCCCTCCTTTCTCCCTTCTCCTCCTTCCTTCTATCCTCTTCTGCCCTTTTTCTTCCTTCCTTCTTCCCTTCCTTCATTCCTTCCTTCCTTCCTTCCCTCCTTCCTCCCTCCCTCCCTCCCTGTCTCTCCCTTCCCTTCCCTCCCTTCTGCCCTTCTCCTTCCTTCCTTCCTTCCATCCATCCATCCCCCCTCCCTCCCTCTCCTTCCTTCCTTCCTTTCTTCCTTCCTTCTATCCATCCTTCCTTCTGCCCTTCTCCTTCCTTCCTTCCATCCTCCCTCCCTCCTACCCTTCCTTCATTCCCTCCCTCCCTCCCTTCCCTTCCTCTCTTCCATCCTTCCATCCATCCTCCCTTCTGCCCTTCTCCTTTCTTCCTCCCTCCCTCCCTCCCTCCTTCCCTTTTTACTGAAAGCTTCATGGTATTTATTACCTGTATGCAGGCAAATGATTCCAGCTTGAACTGTATAATATTTCTTATGCAGTGAAATGTTCCGCAGGTTGTTACATAGATGAAAGAATGGAAGAAAACTCTACTGGAATGGACAATGAAGAAAGACCATCAATTCCTGAGTTTTGGCTGTTCTGTGCCGAGCATCTCATCCTATCCAGAGAATGAAAATAGCATTAATTCTTCTTCAAGAAACCATTTCACACTTCAGGTTTTTCATTGCAGTTCCCACCAACCAATTAGATGTAGTCTGCCAACTTCATGAAGCCAACAGACGAGATCCTTCAGCTGCTGGCCCATGCCCTGCACTGTGGCCAGAAAGGTGGCTTAATTGGAGCAAGTCTCCCTCACTTAGCAACAGACATTCTGGGCTTAGTTGTGGTCATAAGTCAAGGACTACCTGCCTATTCTGTTATTACGACAAGGCCCATCTGAAGTTCTGAAGGTCAGATCTTACAGCAAGAAGATACATTTGCACTGTATTGTGTGACTGGATATACAATGAATTTGCACCAGAGACAAATTCCTTGTGTGTCTAATCACACTTGGCCAACAAAGAAGTCAAGTCAAGTCAAGTCAAGTCAAGTCAAGTCAAGTCAAGCCAAGCCAAGCCAAGCCAAGCCAAGCCAAGTCAAGTCAAGTCAAGCCAAGCCAAGCCAAGCCAAGTCAAGACAAGTCAGGTCTACCCTATCCTACCCTACCCTACCCTACCCTACCCTACCTTATTCTAATTCTACCCTACCCTATCCTACACTACCCTACTCTACTCTACCCTACCTTATTCTAATTCTACCCTACCCTACCCTATTCTACTTTACTTTATTCTACTCTACTCTACTCTACTCTATTTTACTCTACCCTACCCTACCCTACCCTACCCTATTCTAATTCTACCCTACCCTACCCTACCTTACTCTACTCTCCTCTATTCTACTCTACACTCTCCTCTATTCTACACTACACTCTCCTCTATTCTACTCTATTCTACTCTACTCTATACTCTACTCTACTCTACTCTACTCTACCTTACCCTACCCTACCCTACCTTATTCTAATTCTACCCTACCCTATTCTACTCTACTCTACTCTACTCTTGTAATATATTTTATTCTGTAACTTGTTCTGTATTTTGTCCTGTCCTGATCCATCCTGAGCACAGGGTTAAAAGTAAAACCCCAAACTCCTTTGGTGCGTGTGCAGAATCTGCTCTAAGAAACCAGTTGGCCGGCATTAATTAAGCAACAGCCAGAAGGCCGGGCCGGCCAGCCACAAGCCGGGAGCTCTGTAAATCTCGCTTTAGAAATATCAATTTGTGTTATCAGACTTTACCTATAGATTTATGGACCTTTCAGGGCCTGCTTTGCTGTGTGTAATCATTTTGGCATTTTCGGGTGAAATTCTCAGGTGAAGCCTCGCCGTTGCCAACGTGAAATAATGGGTTATATTGACAGAGCAGCCAGGACAGCAGTTTTGTTTAGAAAAATTGCCCATCCATGAAATGTCAAAGGTGGGTGGGTGGGTGGGTAGTGGTGGGAAAGGCAGAGGAAGTATATATTTCCCACCTATAGGGCTTATTGCTGGTAATGGATGGGGAAGGAAAGATTGCCTGGCTAGGTGGCTCGGTGGCTAAGACGCTGAGCTTTGTCGATCAGAAAGATCGGCAGTTCGGCGGTTCGAATCCCTAGTGTAGGTCTCCTGCGTGAGCAGGGGGTTGGACTAGATGACCTCCAAGGCCCCTTCCAACTCTGTTATTCTGTTAAATGATTCGTGAAGTGAGAGGACGGGAGGAAACCTTGAAACAGTTGAGGCCAAAGGGAGCTGAGCCAGTTTTGACTCCATCTTTTTTTTTATTTGATTTATATGCCGCCCTTCTCCGGAGACTCAGGGCGGCTTACAATGCGTTAAGCAATAGCCTTCATCCTTTTGTATATTTATACAAAGTCAGCTTATTGCCCCCACAAACTGGGTCCTCAATTTACCTACCTTAGAAAGAATGGAAGGCTGAGTCAACCTTGAGCCTGGCGAGATTCGAACCTGCAGAAATTGCAGGCAGCTGTGTTAATTACAGGGTGCATTAAACCACTGTACTACCAAGGCTCCTTGGTTTCATCTTGGTTTCATGGCTGTTGAGTAGTGGGTGCAGACAGAGGACCCAGGACATATCCGGCTGTTCAACAACTTTATTCAGCGCCAGTAACAGCAATGGGCAATGCAAGTCGTGGCAGCCCCTTTTTAAACCGGAGCTGTCCGCGGCTTCAGCCACTGACGCGCGCTTAATTTTCCCACTCTAGCTACTGGCTCCTGATTGGTCCCTGTGCCCATCTATTCAATACTTAAAAATGACTGGTGGGGGAAAAAAAAGAGCCAATGCAATCCTAAATTGCATTAACAGAGGGATACAATCAAGATCAAGGGAGGTACTAATACCACTCTATAAAGCCTTAGTAAGGCTACACTTGGAATACTACATCCAGTTTTGGTCACCACACTATAAAAAAGATGCGGAGACTCTAGAAAAAGTGCAGAGAAGAGCAACCAGGATGATGATGGGACTGGAGGCTAAAACATACGATGAACGGTGGCAGGAACTGGGCATGGCTGGTCTAGTGAAGAGAAGGACCAGGGGAGACAGGATAGCAGTCTTCCAATATTTGAGGGGCTGCCACAGAGAGGAGGAGGGGGGTCAAGCTATTTTCCAAAGCATCTGAAGTCCAGACAAGGAATAATGGATGGAAACTGAACAAGGAGAGATTCAACCTGGAAATAAGGAGAAATTTTCTGACAGTGAGAGCAATCAACCAATGGAAGAGAAGTTGCCTTCGGAAGGTGTGGGAGCTTCATCCCTGGAGGCTTTCAAGAAGAGATTGAACCTCCCATCTGTCTGAAATGGTGTAGGGTCTCCTGCTTGGGCAGGGGGTTGGACTAGATGACCTACAAGGTCCCTTCCAACTCTGTTAATCTGTTAATTCTGAATCAAGCCAGTTGCTACGGTTATGAAAAAAAAGAAAATTTACGTTAAAAAACAGGCCCCATGTGGATGCATGAACTGGAAACGAGGCCGAATATAATCCTTGATTTACGACCACAACTGAACCCCAAACATTTGCTAAGTGAATTTTGCCTCCATTTTACACCCTCTGTTGCCGCAGCTGTTCAGTCAATCCCTGCAGTGAAATGGTTGTTAAGTGAATCTGGCCACAAAAGATGGTCACGTGACACCCCCCCCCCACCGGGACACTGCAACCGTCATAAATACGAGTCAGTTGCCAAGCGTCCGAAATTTGGTTTCACGTGATCGTTGGGAATGCTGCCAAAATTGTAAGTGTGAAAAATGGTCGTAAGTGCTGTTATAAGTTTGAAGCCAGTTCTATCCGGTTTGGGCGAACCTGTAGCGGCGGCTTTGGGAGGCTCCACCCACCCGCCCGGACATCATCATCATCCTGTTTTTGACACTCTGCGCACGCGCAGAAGGCCTTGCCAATGCACGGAGGTGGCATGTGCATGCGCTCACATTTGCGAACCGGTAGCGAAGGTAAGTGAATACTACCACCGGTCATTAAATGAACCGTTGCAAGTCGAGAATTACCTGTAGGCAGCCATCTCATTCTCTCCTTTGATCAACAACCGTCTGTGTCAATTCTTTCGTCAACTATCTGTCTGCCTTGTCTCATTTTTCTTGGGGGGGGGGGAGGAGACGGACCTTCAAATGATTTATACCTCTCTTAATGTGGCTTAGTCAGTGATCTGCTTTTAAATCCGCTCTACTTTAGACATGCAATTACTGCCCAGGTCTGTCCATCACGGAGGGATTCGGAGCCATAAACACCGAAGGACGTTTGACACTGGCTCTCTTCTTTTTTTCTTGATCCTTTGCAAATTGGGGTCAGGCCACTGCTCTGAAGGGAGAAACAAGCTGTTTGATAGCCGAGCCTGCTTACTCAGTCATAATCAGCAATCTGGAGGAAGTACAATGACTAGCTGGGAATATTAGTCACAAAGTACGAAAGTTCTCCTTTGGCCTAATTTTCAGGTTGGTTCAGAGAGAGAGAGAGGGGGAGGGAGGGAGGGAGGGAGGGGGGAGAGAGAGGGGAGACAGAAAGAGGGAGAGGGGGAGAGAGAGAGAGGAAAGGGAGAGTGAGGGAGAGGGGGAGAGAGAGGAGGAAAAGGAGAGAGAAAGAGGAGGAAAGGAAGAGAGAAAGAGAGGGGGAAAG